CAAAGCCTACTGTCAGTGTGTCTGTAATTTAGACTGGGTAGTACAGTTGGCCCTCCACATTTTTAGATGAGACTTTTGTGGATTTGATTATTTGCGATTTTGATTAATTTCTAGGAATCTCTAGATCCTCCAGTGAGACTGTGCTGGAAGCTGGCCATAGAGTTGTGCTGGAGAACCTAGAAGTTCTTAGGGAGAACACTTCTCTAGGCATTTGTAGGTCCTCCAGCATTAGTTTATAACCAACATCTGGCAGATGTTGACCCTAGAGTTGCACTGGACGATCTGGAGATTCCTAGAAAGGTGTTATCTCAAGTAAAAAAAATAGTGTTTGTTTTTTTTAAAAAAAATTGCGATTTTTCCACATTCACGGGGTCCTTCCACCGTATCCCCAACGAATGTGGAGGGACCACTGTAATTGTTGTTGTTGTTAACTGCCTCCAAGTCACCTTATCCTCAAAGGCTCTGCTCATCTCCTGCAGATTCATGACTGTGACTTCTCTGAATTAATCTATCCATCTGGTATAAGGTCTTCCTCTTTTCCTATTGCCCTCCACTTTACCAAGCATAATTGTCTTTTCTAGTGAATCCTTTCTTCTACTGTTATGGCCAAAATACAACAATCTCAGTTTAGTCATCTTTCTTTCTAGAAAGAGTTCGGGTTTGATTTGCTCTAGGAGCCATTTATTGGTCTTTTCAGCAGAATACTATACTCTTCTCCAGCACCACATCTCAAATGAGTGGATTTTCTTCCTTCACTGTCCAGCTCTCACAGTCATATATCGAAAAAAATAAGAAATAGGATGGCATGGACAATCCTAACTTTAGTATTCAGCGATATAATTGTACACTTCAGGAGCGTGTCTAGGTAAGCAGACAGATAAATCTAGATAAATAAAAGGTAGTTAACAACAACAACAAAAGACAGTTAGAACACAGGCTCTATATCTATGCTTCCCCTCTGTATATTAATCTCTATTTCTTTCGGGCATTAAATATAAATATAAATATAAAATATAAATAATGACGCAATACCCGAAAATCTGGAATGGGGAAAATGGAGAATCGGAGGCAGATAAAAGGGGGAATCTAAATATTATGGAATACTTTGCACTTAATATTATGTAATACTGTGTACAAGGAAGAGGTGTCACCCACTGTACAAACTGTCTCCCCAGCTCCATGGATTTTTATTGGGAGGGAGGTTAGGGCTTCAGAAGACTGGCCTTCTTTCTCCGGTTGTGACAACCTTCCTCCGTCCAAGGCAACCCATTTAACCTGAACTCTACTGAGGTTAGAATAGCAGGGAGAGTATTTTTTACTGCCCAGTCAAATGGCAGCCCAGGAGTGAGACAAAAGGAAACATGTAGAAATAATCTAGAACCTGAAAGGGCCTTGGATTTCTGGCTTCAAAATGTCATTGTTTTCTTTAGGCTGCCCTTTTTTGGAATGACATCCGTATTCATCTGCATTGGCAATGAGAGCCTTTACACAGTTACTGAGGAGCGTAACTGTGGGATGGAAAAAAATTTCAGGTGGCCATTATATTATTATTATTATTATTATTATTTAGTATCTTTATTAGTATCGCCCTTTTGGCCACAAAATGGGACTGTAAGAGGCTTGGCAAAATTTATTTTATGCTGACTTCCTCACGCATCACACACACACACACACACACAATTGAAAATGCCACAAGGACATCCTGCTTGATCTCTAATTGAGGAAAAGAGACAATGCAGCTGACTGGCATTTTAGAAACTAAGTTCTTTGCCGTGGCACAACTTTGTAAGGCTTTCTTCTACTACCTCTCTTGGTAAGTTTCTTTCTTATTCCTCAGAAAGCTGATGCCACAACCAGCCAGGAAGCCACACCATTTTCTGTCACGAAAACAAGTTATGGGGCACTTTTCCTTTTGCCACATTGCAGAATGCCCATCTCCCAGGTGCAAGCAAACGCCTTCTGGGAGTGAGTTTATTAAACCCATTCCGTTAACTGAAGAGGGACTAAAATTGCCTGGGTAGAGATGGTATATTAATTAGTCCATTATTCCTAGCGCATCCAGTATCATGAGCTGCTTTTCCATTTTGCTCTGAGATTTCATGGCGCCTAACTTTGCATACAAAAAGTTCGGTGTTCCCCCCCACTGCCAACAATCAACAATTAACCCTCTCATTTTCTCAAATTTAGAGACAACTTAAAAGTATTTCTTATAGGAAATGGTCAGTCTCAAACCATCGACGGCAAGTCTGGTCACGTTTGCAGGAAAAAGACTCAGCCACATTAAACTCCTGCTCCCCCCCATGCCTTTTTGCCATAAAAGAAACGTATATTTCTCTCAAATAAGTCACACACAAAAATTAGCCATGCCTGCCAGAAAACAGGGCCAATTTGGGTAGATAGATCCTCCAAATATTACGCCAATACAACCAGATACTATGGGTACTCTGTAACGATTTCCTAAACTCTTCAAAGAGAGGTGGACACAATGTGAACCTTACTATTCTATTAAATAAATCAAAAGTAGCAGCTATTTTGGGTTCTATCTGCCCTACTCCTTGATCCTAGATTCTGTGGATTATTTGTATGTTTAATTATTATTTATTAATTTTATTTGTATATTTGTACCATCCTTTTGGCCACAAACCGAGACTGTAGGAGGCTTGGTAATTCATTTGGTGTGTTTTAATTATTTGTGTGCTCAATAATTCCTACCTTGCCTACCAACGTTTTCTTATTACTATGGTAAATAAATCCGAGCATTTAGTTGCAAAACAGGACCGCTTGCGTTCAGTCGGACCTATTTCCACGTATCTCAGGATAACCCAGGACAAGAGACAAGAAAGGCAACATACCGACGATTTCTGTCCCTTAACCCCCCGAGGATTTTTCACAATAAATTTTCCCTTCCTTGACACAGGATAATTGAGCTCCAGGAAGCCAAAAGAAATACCTGCCTTCCTGCTCTTGGCTGGTCTAAGGAATGAAAGGGTATTTATTTACCTTTTTTTAAAGGAAAAAAAGTCACAGATAAGAGATTAAAGATGCTAAGGCATCCTAAATTGTCGAACCCTTTGGGATGGAGGAAGATCTCCAGATTCAATGAAATACAATGAAATTCCAGCCTGGGTTTAGGAAGCTTGCTTTGGGCCAGGGAGATTTGGAAGCAGGGTGTTGTTCCCTAGAGGTCTTCTTCCTTCTCTGGTCCATCCCCTCCCTGTTTCCCCACTTTGCTTGGGCAGAAAGAGGAGAAAAGGAAGGGGGGACGAGGGCTGTTTGAAAGGCAAAGAGGAGGGGGAAATGTGAACTGACCCGAGCGAAGGTTTCAATGGGGATGGGTTATCTCTCTCCGCCTTGCTGGGATGGGCCTCTTTCTTTTTGAGCCCAAGTTGTCCACCAGCTTTGGAGATGAGATGGTGGGGGAAAGCAAATTCTAGCTTGGGTTTGGGGGGGATCAGCCTGTTTGTCAGGAAGGGGAGGCTGGGAGGACTACTTTGTCCCAGGGATATATATTTGGAGGCAGGCTAATCCTCAGGAAAGGAGCTAAACCTGGAAAAGGAAAGAGCAAGGGGTGGGTTTTTTAAGGGGTGGGTGGGTTAGGGAAGGGGTTGTTTGACTGTTTTAATTTGTAATGTTGTTTTAATTTGCTGTACGCCGCCTCCATTGCGCTGCAGAGAGGCGGCATAAAAATAAAAATATTATTATTATTATTATTATTATTATTATTATTAT